CACAAAGCAGCCTCCGCTGCCTCCCCGCCTGGCCGTCCCCCTCCGGCTGCCCCATTGATGGCAAGCCCCGAGCCTCCCTCTGGCTCGCTCTCCCAACTCCAAACTACATTTTCGGGCTGACTAAACTTCCGTGTCACGCCGGACTTCACGCCAGCACAGCTCCGCGCACGGGAAAGCCCCGGGCCGCCCTGTCCCACGTGCGCCGCGGCGACCGCCCCGCCGGGGCGGAGGGACAGGGGGGAGCAGCGCCTCGGGCTCTCCCGGCGGGGAGAAGGCAGCCGGCAGCGGGCTCTGCCCGCCGCTCACCTGCCCGCGGCCGCCGGACCGCGCGTTGCTCGGGGCGGGGAGCGCGGAGCCCGGCCCGCCCGGCGCGGGAGCTCTCCCCGCTCCGCGAGCCGGCAGCGCCGCTCCTTGCCCGCCCCGTCCCACGGGAGCCCCCGTAACGCCGCTGCTCCGGCGCCTTCCCAATCACAAAGTGCGAGACGACGGGAACACCGCCACCACTCCCCACACGGGCGCACCGGAGCCGACAACGCGATCGGGTGCTTCCCGGTGCCTCCGCTGCCCCAAACAGGCATCTTCACAAGCAACTACCTCCAAACTTCCCCTCCGACACCGCAGCCCCGGAGGCGCTCCCCTAGACCCTCCTGCCCCCGCCGCCGCCTCCCCGCCACTCCCGCCCCAGCCCCGCTGCCCCGCACCGTAACTTTCCGCCACGCCGCCGCTCTGCCTTTCCCGCGGCCGGCCGCGGGGAGCCCCGCAACCGCCCCGTCACCGCGGGACTCGGCGGCGGCGCTTCCGCACGGGAGCTGTTCGCGGAGCCCAACACTGACCTTCCTGCCGCGCCGCGGGGCCGTGGCGTGCGCGGTCCGAGACGCGGGTCCCCACACCGTCGGCTGGCCCTGCTGCTCTCCCTGAAGGGCAGCCCCGTCGGGGGTGGGAAGAAGAGGCGAGAAAAGTTTCACGATCCGACTCCCCCTCTCCGTGGGTGCGTGTGCCGCGGCTTGCCCCAGCGCGGGCAGGTCGGGGAAGGGGCGCGGAAAGACCAGGGAGCTGCGGGGCGCGGGGAGCGGGAGCGTGGCCGCCCTCTGCGCCGACGGGGCAGGTGCCCGCGGGAAGGGCTTTGCTCCTCGGCTCGACTGGGCTCAGCAGCGGGAGTGGGAGCGGCAGCCCGCGATGCTCATTCCGGCTGCCGGCTCTGGTTTGGCAGCGCCATGTTGCTGGCTTGCTCCGGGCGAAGTTCCTGCGCTGGCGAGCGCGGCGCTCCCCACATCTCGCCCGCGCCGCCGTCTCCCGTGCCCTGGCCGCCGCGGCTTTGTGTGTGTGTGGCTGGGGATTTAATTCTCCTCCTCCTCCTCTTCTCCTCCTCTCTCTCTCTCTTTTTCTTCCTCTCCCCCCCCCCTCCCCTCTATAGTCCGCCGGGAAAGCCGCTCTTCCTCACCTTGCCGCTGGGAGACCGGGCTCCGTCTGCTGCACGCTGCGCTCCCCTCGCATCCCCCCTCCCTCTCTCCCTCCTCCTCCTCCTCCTCCTCCTCCTCCAGCCGTCGCCTCCCCTCCCTTCCCCTCCCCCCGGGCAGGCGCTGCACCGAGGGAGCCGCCGCCAGCAGCAGCAGCGGCAGCAGCGCCGCCACCGCTTTTTCCCTCAGCAAGTTTCCCCCTCCCCTGGCTGCGTTTCCCTGCTCAGGCAGGGCTCGCCCGGCCGCTCGCCCGCTCCCCGCCTTGCCCTGACTAATTGATTTGCCCCCCCTCGCCGCGCCGCCAGCCCCTCGCCCCGCTCGCTCCCCCCGGCTGGCACAGGTCGCTGCCAAGCTGCGGCGCCCCGGGGGGGGACTCCGCGCTCCCGCGCTCCCCGGCAGGCAGGAGGGGAAAGCCGCCCCCCCGCCCCGCCGATACTCCCCTCTCTCGCTACCCAGAAGGCCAGTGGAGAACCGCAATTACCATAAAGCTCCGTTCACTCCGCTCCGCCAAGCTGTCAAAACCCCGGCGGCGGCGGCGCTGCCAGACATCGCTGCGAGCCTCCGCGGCCCCTCCGCCGGGCGCTCCCGGCCCCCCCCACCCCGCTTCCCCCGTGATCCCAGCGGCGCCTGGAATACCCCCGGCGATGCAACCCGCGCCCACAGTCACACCCGCCGGCTGCGGGTTTCCCCCGTCGCGCAAAGGCATCCCCGCTCCCCCAGGACCTGCCGAGGGCTCGCAGCCGTCGTAACCCCCCGCAGGGGTCACACCACGAGCGGACCCTTTCGGCCGCAGCCTCTCACACTCGCCGAGGGGGGTGTGTCGCCCCCCGACGCCGGGGCCCCTCTCTGGGTCCCACCCGCCGCCCCCAACTTCGCGTGGTCCGCGGCTCGGCCGCGCTGATTTCCCCGCTTCCCCCCGTCCGCTTCTCCGAGCTCTGAATCGGGATGGGAAAAAAAGCCACTCGTTTGTCAACGTCTGCATTGCGGGGGGCGGGGGGGCCGAGGGGGACCTTATTAAAGCGCGTTTTCGCCTGATCCGGCTTTGGCAGCCCTTAACGCGCTTTTTACCCGGTGTGAGCAGTGTGGCAACCCGGGGTGGTGTCACGACTGAAGCGCCGTTTCCCTCGCTGGCATTTCTAGGGCTGCTTTAAGATTTCTGCCCGGATCGTGGAGCCCTTTAATCTCCGGGTTGGTAGTTATCGGCTGCATCTATTTACTTTGGCAAGGCAACTTTTGGCTCAGCGAGCTCGACTCGTAAATTTCCCGTTCATAACGCCCATCCCCGCTGATACTCCCAGGTTTGGTCTCGCAGAGCCCGCGGCGTGGAAGCTCCCGGGGCGGCCCCGGCCTCAGGGCCAGGCGGGCTCTCGGCCCCTCTGCTCCCCCGCACCTCCCGGCGCCTTCCCGGGGAAGCGGGAGTTCTGCCACCTCAGCGCCGCCGGCGCCGCATCGAGCCCTTCTCGCCGCCGCTCCGTGTGGGAGCGACTGCCAGCCAAACGCCAGGCGATTAACGCGGACAGTTTGCCCCAGGGGGGATTTTTAATCGCTTCGTTCAGGACCCTGCGCGAAAAGGCTGAAGAGACGCTATGAGCTGCAAAAGCTTCCCTCACCGAGGGCGCCGGAGCAGCAAGCAGGGCGATGGGAATTCAACGGCGGAGCAGGACGGCCGGGGCTGCCTGCCTGCTCTGCGCCGCTGCTTAGCTCTGAAGGTGGAAAAATGAGAGTTCTCCGAAGTTGTCCCTGCTAAAGCTCCCACCCTGCCAAATCCAGAAGCGTTTAATAGAGAAGATATACTACGTCTGGGGGGAAAAAAGAAAAAATAAGTGGGGTCGCCCAATGCACGGCAAAAGGACACAGAGTTCAGAGAAAAGCACACACACACCACATATACACACACGCAGCCGGGTCATGGCCAGAGGGTTGGCATTTCATGAAACTGCCATCACGGGCTGTGGAGTTTCACTGTGTCTCTTAAAAAAACTCGCCCGTCTGAAAGCAGAAGTGAAATATCCACAATCTGAAACCCGAAACGGCAGCCGCACCGCTCAGCTTCCTCGCAGGGGAGCTCTGGAAGCCGCCGAGTATGGGGAACGGGCAGCGGTCCCACCGTGCCGGCCGGCGGGGAGCACTGCCCCGAGTAGCAGCCGGGTTTGATCCTGGTGCGGCGGGCCACGCATCTGAAAGGGCTCCCACACGTTTTTTTAATCTCCAATAACAAGCAGAAGGACACCTGGCCTATTACGCTGTAAAGCTATTTTTTATAAAGATGTTTTAGGGCTAGACATTAAAAGTTATTAGATTGAACACACGTGAGTTACAGGCACACAGCTGGAGGGGAGGCCTCTGTTGGATTTTTTTTTTTTCTTTTTCTAGGAAAACCTCATTAAAATTGCTTCTTTCTATATGAAAGCAGAACTAGCGCGTTTCCTGGCGAGGTGGCCGCAGCTTCCCGGCTTCATTGATCTGGGCTTTGTCTCTCCCCACAGGTCTGGATCTGCGGTGCCAGCGGCCCACACTTGCATCACAAAAGTCGCCCCCTTCCCTTCCCCCTGGCTGCGAAGTCCGGATCACAACTGTGTGCCTACAGCGTGGGGCTGGATGCTTGGGGCAGGGGTGGTTGGGGGGGTTTTTTTGTTTATCGCTAATGACTTAAAAGTTATCTCGGGGTAAACTTGCTCCGCTTTTATTTTTAACCGTAAACTTTCTTTGTGAACGCAGCTTCCTTCGTGGCGGGGAGGAACAGACCCACGCTTGTTCGCCTCTGTGCCTTTTTTGTTCCCTGGGTCCCCGAGCTTTGCAGCGGGAGGCTGGCGGCTCCCGGCGAAGACATTGGGGCTTCAGTTCGCTCCTCCCGCGGCCTGCCCCGGCCGGCTGCGCGCCCCGCCGCCTTCCCCAGCGCGGCTCCGGCGGGCACCGCCGAGCTAACCCCGGAAAATTCAAAGCATGCTCTTGCCTTGCGGATTACAGGGCGGCCTCCCCCCCTCCCACACGCCCCGGAGGGAGCTGACCCCCGGGTCAGGCCGCTGCACACTGCTCTCTCCCCGGGAGGGGAGGGGGGCTCCGCTCTGTCGCTGCTGTTGCGGCCGCCGAGAAGCGGGGCGAGGATGCGCTCGCAAAAACGGCTGCTCCGATAATGCTAAGTACTTAACCTCCTCGTAAAGACAAATCCATTGTTAATGGCAGAATAGGCTTCTCGCAGGAGGCTTCCAAGTGGGATGGCTTTACGCCGGCTCTCATTTACCTCCAGCGCCGCCTCTAATTGGAAGCTTCCCCGCGCCCCGGCCCGCGCACCTCAGAAAGTTGAGGGTTAAACCGCAGGAGTGGCGAGGCCGGGCCCTGGCCCTTCCACGGCCCGCTCCCCTGCTCCCCAAACGGCAGCCGGAGCACGCCAGTCCTTCGGGCACGGGAAATCAGACAGAGGGGAGATGGGCGCTGCGAAGGTAAAATGAATTAATGCGAGCGAGGTGCTCAGACAGCCTGGTGATGAGTGCTAGGAAAAGCCTATAAATAACAGATCACTGTCCTAAGCTCTGAATTGCCCTGGTTGAGTGTGTCTTAAATCAGACCTTTATCATTGGTTATTGTAAGGCTGTTTTTAATGGAAGTGTAGAAATCTGAATAACAAAACAAGACAAGCCTCAATTGGCGTTATACAGGGTCTGCAGCGCTTTCAGACCTGACACGGCGTCAGCATATTGTAACACCGCCATGCAAACTCCCCGTGCAATCAAAAGGGTTTTGCATAGCAGAACTACTATAATTTTACTTCGTAGTTCAGGGCTACTCCGTTGACAGGAGATCCGTAATTTTCTTTCCAGAAGAGCCCGAAACGCGCTCGGTTCACGGACTAAGCGCCGCTATCTTTCTTACAAAGGCGAATGACAAATCGCTCCGGTTGCGTTTGCTTCGCTCCGCACCCCTTCCCCGCTCCACGGAACAGCGGAGATGCCCGCGATCGTCCGGTCCCCGTTCGGCGCCCGGAGGGGACAGCCCGGCAGGGACAAGCAGACAAACACTCGCTGTGCTCCATCGGCCTGCCCCCAGCCGGGGAGCTCGGCCTGCCGCGCCGCGGCCGGGGGAAGCTCTCGCCGGGCCCGGGCAGAGCTCAGAGCTCGCAGCGCCGAGCCCACCGGGGTTCGGTGCGCGGCCCGGGCCCCGCTCTGGGGAAGGGGGCCGGCAGCCCAGCTGCAAGAGGAGGGCAGGCTGGCTGCGAGCTGCCCCCTCCACCTCTCCCACTTGCATACCACGGCCATTTTGTCTGCTTGCGGCGCGCCCGTGTGCGTGTCCCCCGCCCCCGCCCTGTCCCCTCGGGCTGCTGCGGGAGCTGCCCCGGGCGCAGGGGCCGGGCCGTGCCGGCGCTGGGGCCGGCGGGGCAGGCGGAGGTGAAAGGCGGGCGGCCCCGGTCGCTCCTGAGAGCGGAGAGATGCAGCCGCTAGGCAAGGCCCTGCAGGGGAGGGGGCGTGCGCCGCACAAGTCTGGAGAGGAGTAAAAATAGCGCCGGCGAGGTTATGGCTCTCCTCGCCTCCCCCCGTCCCAGCGGGGGGCAGCGGTGGGGCTCGGCGGGAGGGCGGCGTGCCGGGCTCAGGGGGCGAACGGGAACGGGAGCCAGACAAAACCCCGGCCCGGCGGAAAGCGACGTGGACGAGGTTGAGCCTTCGCCTTTGAAGGCGATGCGCGGGAGCTGGAGGCTACAACCCCTTTCCGCGGTGGGGGTCCCTGAGCCCCGGGAGGCGCGGACTGCGGCCCGTCCCCGTCCCTCGGCGGCCTGGGGAGGAGCGGTAGCGAGCGGTGACTTGGCGGAGGAACAGAAGCCACCATGCTCCCGAGTTTAAACATAATACGGCGGCCGGGGGAACCGCCATGGTTTGAAGGTGTGTTTGTGCAGACTACAGCTTGTATGTTAATAATTGGATACAGTCGATGAATCACCTCCGTCCTCCTTCTGGTTTTGTTTTTGTGTTGTGTTTTGTTTCGAAGGGGGTGGGGAGAGAAAGCGAGGAGACGGTGGCTCGGCGCTGAATACCAATTCCGAGCCCGGGTTCATAAACACTGGGGTTATTCACTCCGCCCCAGAGGTGACAGCGGAGGCCTCCGCCGCCCTCCGCGCCCGCGCCCCGCGGCGCGGCCCCGGGCTGCCGAGCGGGATTTGCGCCCCGGCTGGAAGCCCGGCAGCGGCGGGTAGCTCGTTGGGGTGCATACATATGAAATGAGAGCCTGCAACATCAAAGCAGCAGCAGAGCGAAGGCAGGGAGGGGCTCTCGGCGCGTACATGTGTGTACCTTTCCAGAGAAAAGCCCCTAATTTTTAAAATCGGACACCCCCCACTCCCGCCCCTTCACTCGCATGGCAGACACGCGGAGAGATTCTTTAGTCCTGTACTTAACACTTCACAGTGTTTTTAGCAATTAAGGCGAGAGGGGGGTGGGTATAAAGATAAGCCACTTTTTCGCCCTGCAAGTGTGAAAGATAAGATAACAGTAAGCTGGGGCAAAACGTCTGCTTACAACCTCCCCCCAGCGATTCTGATCGGTCACCTCTTATCTCGGAAAATGTTCATTTCGAAAACAGCTTCAAAAATCCAAGGGAAAATAAAAGTATTTTCCGTTCACAAGTGCCATTTAAAACCCCGTCCTCACTTCATCTCTCTACAACGCCGCTCCCCCGCGCCCCCCCCGCCATCACGGTACCCAAACAAGGGCAGCAGCCGCTCCATGGAGCGCCTCTCGGAAGCCAAATCACGCAGGTAATCAGAGGACCGAAACCTGTCAGGCGCCGAGATTAGTGGCTCCCCGCCGCTCCTCGGCCCTGCCCGCTCGCCGTCCCCGTCGCAGGCGGGGGACCGGCCCCTCGCTGCCGGTAGAGCGGGCAGAGATCTGCGCTGGAAAAGCCCCACGGGCTGCGGGGCTGAGGCAAAGCGAGAGCCGGGCTGCCTTGCCCGCAGCACCCCCGACGGCGACACTCCCGCAGCGCGGCCTGTCCCCAGCCGAGCTGCAGGATCCGCTGTGGGCGGGCCGTGCTCGGCGTCGAGCCGGTTCTGACTCCGAGCCTCTCGGCCGCCCCCGCGCCCCGCTGCCCGGCAGGCACAGACGGAGGCCGTGTGCGGGCAGGGTGCCGGTGCACACGGCGGGGCCCTGCCCTCTGCGGCACCGGGCAGGGCCCCGCCGCGCCCGCCCCGAGGCCCGCGGGAGGATGCGGGCGCTGTTCCGCCCCGGCCCGGCGCGCCTGCCACGGCCGCGGCCGGGGTTACGCGCTGCTTCCCAGTTCCCGAGGGCCTCTCCCTGGGCCCGGAGTTTCCCCCTCCCGTCCTTGAGCCGTCGCCACTTGCGATAAATCGAGATGTCCCGGCCCCTTCCCGAGGGCAATGAGCGGCAGCTCCGCATCCTCGCTGCCCTGGGAAACCTCCACGCGAGGCAGCGAGGTGTGTCTGGAGTGGGAGTGCGTGCGTCCCCTTGTCCCCCGGCAAAGACAAATCGAGGGCACCGCACGGGAAACGTGATAGCAGCGACCCCGCGCTGCCCCTACGTGCTTAGGGCCGGAGCGGAGCAGGGGTGGCTCGGCGGAGAGCCAAGACGGTGGGGGGGCTTCCCCAGGCTCGCCACACCCCCGATCTCCTCCTGCCCCCGTTCTCAGAAACCCGTCGGTGCCGTGCTCTCGAAGTGAGTGGGTCAGCAGCTGATGACAAGGGGAAAAAAGAAGAGAGCGAGAGAGCGAGCGAGCGAAAAAAAACTCCCTCCCAAACCCTAGCCTGGCGCGATTACTCATCCCCAGAGTTCCCCTAAGTCAGAGAAACTTGGCGAAGTCCCAAGGCCGAGCCGTTAACACGGTCTGAGGCTCCCCGGGCACCTTCTGCCGCCGGGCCGGGGCCGAGGGGGCCGGGGCTGAGGGGGCCGGGAGGCCAAGGCCATCGGGGAATGCGCGTCCCCATCCTCGGCGCTATTCGCGCTCGAGTTATTGTGGAGCGTTTTATCTTCACAGTCACATCGGCAGCTAACGAAGCTCGGCGGCTGCAGCCCACACGACTTTGGTTCTCTGCATTTATCCTTCAATAAAAGCCGATTCCTTTATTAGAAACAGGAGACGTGTCTCCTACCGCCCCTATCAAATCCCAACTGGCAAGGCGCAGCCGACACCTCCCCCTCAGCCCCCCCTGCCCGAGAGAGGCAGGCGACACCACCCCATGGCCCACGTCCCCTTCCCGCCGGACCCCCCACCGCGAGCATCCCGCACTCCCCCGCTTCAGTCCCCCCCGCCAGGAACACGGGCAGCCCTCGTCCCCTTCCAGCGGGGCGGCCAACGCCCCCTCCCCGTGATCCCTCCCGAGCAGGAGCAGCCGAGGCCAGCCGGCCCCTCCCGCCCCAAACAGCCCGCGCCGGCACGGGCAGCCGCCACCCCTCCCCTGCCAAATCAATCGCCCCCACTAGGCGCACCCACACGACTTTCGTTCCCCTGCATTTATCGTTCAATAAAAGTCGTTTCCTTTATTAGAAACAGAGGAGACGCTTCTCCCTCCCACCGCCCTCACCTCATGCCCCCTCCGCGGGCGCAGCCGGCGGCCCCCCTACCACGTCGCCCCCCGCCGAGCGCGGACCGCCCCACCCCCCCTCTCAGCACCCCCTCCACCGGGCTCAGCCCCCCTCCCCTTTCCTCTCAAATCCCCCATCGCTAGGCGCAGCCAACCACCCCCCCGCCCGCCCGCCTTTCCCCAGGCGCAGCCAACGACCCATCAAATCCCCTGGCCAGGCACGGCTCGGCCCCCGCCCGCCTCGCAGCCCCCCCGGGCACCGAGCAGGTCTGCGCGGCGGATGCTTGTGTGCGACTCCGATTGGAGCTGACGCTCCACCGCTACCGGGCGGGGAATGTTTCCCCGGGCGCCGCCGGGAGAGCCGGTGCTCGGAGGATGCCAGCCCGCTTTGCCGTGCCGTGCCGTGCCCCGCCGTGCTGTGCCGTGCCCCTCCTCCGCGGCGCGGAGCGCCCAGCGGAGATCTCCCCGCTGAGGAGGGGCCGGGAGGGAGCGCACTCTGTATCGCATTAAATTAATCGCTCGGCTCCGGAGGAGGCAGGTGATTCTGCCAAACACAATGAGGGGTTTGAGCGCTGCGGAATAAAGCGCTGTTCATGGGGCCGTGGGCGGCGGTGCCCAGCTCCACCGCGGGATCGCGGGCTCCCGGGCGATCTCGGCGCTGCTCCCCGCCGCCGGCCCCAGAGCGGGGAGCTCCGGCTCGGCGCACCCCACCCTCCCCCTCGGGATGGATAAAGGGAGGGCGTGGGGGGGAAACGAGCAGCCGCCCTAGCAGGGGGGAGCAGCAGCCCCTGGGGACGGGAAACGGGGGATAGAGGGGATTGTAGCCAGCTTTCCCCACACCCCCCCCCCAGCCCCCGCTGTGCGTCCCATCGGGGGCGGCCCTTTGCGATGGGGGGGCGAGAATCAGCCTCCCGGGAGGAAGCCGAGTGCCGGGAACCGCGCAGCTCGCCGTGCAGGGCGCCGGGGAGCGCGGGGCCCCTGGGCGGCCTCCGGGCGGACGGTGCGGGGCGGGCGGCGCTGCCAGGGTTCAGGCGGTGGCAGGCGTTGTTTTCCTCGGAGAGCGGAGGAGGAGGAGGAAATCTCCGGGTTTTTAATGAGGGGGTGCAGAAGGGCTGAGCGCTGGGATTACACGGCACGGAGACAGAGCTGCGGGCTGTGTGTGCGCGCAGGGCTGCTAGTCTCCGCCCGTCTGCCTGCTAATCGCACGTTTTCCGCTGTTAAAAAGAAACCGAGACACTGTGGCCGAGCCCAGCGCTGTCTCTGTGACTGTGACATGAAAAGATGGCGCTCTCTCCCCTCCCCCAGCCTCCCTCTCGGTTTACACTTCCTCCCCAACAGCTTTTGCCTTCCAGTTTTTTAAAGCCCTCTTTGCTCCTTCCTTCCCCCCCTCTCCCCCGGCCGGATACCACCAGCTTCCCAGCCGGTCGGTGGGTCCCTCTGTTACGACGATTTTTTTTTTTTCCCTTTTTTCTTTACCTCGCTATTTTCGCCTCTCCCTTTTCTCGGAAACCTCGATCTCTTTATGTCTCGCTCTTTTGTGAACTTCAGCGGCAGTTTGCAGGAGGCGGGGGGGAGGGGGGGAAGGAAAAGCGGGGAGGGGGTTATCCCGTCGCTTCTGCCCCCCATCCATGTCCTCCCTCTCCCCAGGGGCAGCGGGGGCAGGAAAGCGAGGCGGATCTGGGTGCGTGGGTGTCGGGGCGGGCAGCAGGGAGGCTCTGGGAGGTGCCTGCCCGCGCCGGCGACCTGGTCGCGCTGTGGTTGACCTGGTCGCCAGGGGAGCGCTGGCCGTGGGGGCGAGCCGCGCTGCAGCGGCAGGCAGCTCCGTCCGAGGAGTTTACCTATCTAGAAACCTGCGCGCACCAAGGTGGTCCCGGCTCCCGGAGAGGGTCCACGGAACTGGCCGCGGGCCCGCTCCGAGGCAGGAGGGCTACTCTGCCGCCTTCCACATCACTTCTTGCGTTCATCACCAGACCGCTCTAAGTGCTAAGTTTTTTTTTCTTTCTTTTTTTTTTCTTTTTTTTTTCCCTAAGCCTGCAAATTAAATTCAGCGCCGCTCTCCTATTTTAGTGTCTCTTATGTTAATTGCACTTAGCGCTGGGGCGCTGCTCGCCAGGGATGTATGAAGGCCTCGGAGATTAACCGCAGACTCTTTCTCGGACTTTTCTGAGGCAGCAGCAAGTTCCGAGGGACTAACAGGGAGTCTTCAAGATCCCATGTGCTTTCGGGGCGTGCCGCTGCTGGCCGGCACCTCTAAACTCGGGGCCAGCGACTCTGGGCTGGCAGGTCAGGCTGCCAGCAGCTCCCTGTGCACCCGCAGATCTATTTGCGTAAGGATTTGCATTGCGGGACGACAGGTATTTTTCCTCCCTGTGGATGGTAAAAATGCAAAATTAGCGTGACTGTTTCTAGGCAGAGAAGCCACGACTACGTGATCTCGCTGAACCTGTCGGTTGTGCTCTCTGGAGCAGCAGGGAAACCGGACACCTTTATGAGTGACCCCCGAAGCCGTTCTCCCGGGCGTTCGCTGTATTTATCGCCATCTAACCCTAGGCAGCCCGCGAGGGCCGTGTCACGGCTTCTGCTCTGCCCGGGAATGTCCGTGCGGCTGGCTGTGCCCCGCGGTGTTACCCAGCCACTCCGGGAAGGAGCAGGCATGTGCAGCCTTCCCCGGCATGTCCCTTCTCCGGCGTCTACTTCATCTATTCGTTATCAGGGGACGGCGTGTGGAGTGACTGAGCCTAATAAGTTGTCCACTTGTTCATTTCAGGAGCATTGATTTCTGGTTCCAAGGCACTCTGTTCTAGCTCTGGCTACAGCTGCGGGGCATTTCGCAGCTGGTCCTTCGCCTAGACAAATATCAGCGAGAATGTGAGCGTTATTAGCCACATAAATAAATCATTAACGTGCACACAAATGTTATTTTAGCATAACTTCCAGGGAGAAAATATCCCGGCGGGGCAAGGCGGCCAGGCGTGCTACCTTGGACCGGCCCCGTCGCGGGCTGCCCGGCAGCGGCGGCCGGGGGTCGGCGCCCCCCGGCACGGAGAGGCACCGCTCTCCGGCTCCCGATTGAACATTAACAGGGCCGGCCGGCGTGCCACGGCCGCAGGGCCTTGCTTGCAGACCTTTGTCTGCTCTCCCGAGGCCGGGCGGTGACGCCGAGCGCTTTACTCCCCAAACGCGACGGCACTAATGAGATTACCGGCCGGCTGGCCGCGGCTGGGGCCGGCAAGCGCCGAGCCGGGGGAGAGCACAGCCCGGCCGGGCCCCTGCGCCTCGTTAGGGCAGGAACTACGTTCGCTTGTGGCCTCCCGCGAAGCGCCGCCGGCTCCCCCCGTGCCCCGGCGGCGGCGAGCGGGGAGCGGCAGCCGCCGCCGCCCGGGCCGCGCTCGCCCTGCCCCGCGGAATCCCGCGGGTGCCAGTAAAGCCCTGCCTGGGAGCCCTGCCAAGGCGGTCTCGCTTTGATATTCCGCGCCACGGCCGCTCCTCCGCTTGCTCCTAATCACGCAAATGCGAGCTTGCCCCGGCGCTCTCCGTAATAAACACTGAGCGCGTTTCGCTGGGCGCCCGAAGTAAATACTGTGTCGGGGAAGCGGGGCTGCGCTGGGAAGCTGAGATCTTCCACTTTTTCGCACTTAGCAACAGACTGAGGCGTCGTGCGCGCCCTCCCCGAGCCAGGCTCGGTGTGATTTACTTTCTGGTTGCAATGCAGATATACACTTGTCAGTTCAAGGGCAGGACAGAAACTGTGCAAGCGGAGTCTTGTGAACGGAAATCTCCCATTTACGAGGTTCTGCTCCAGCACCAAAAGCCACCCTCCAGCACCTTTGTTCTGCATGCAGCTGCTTTTACACACACACACACACACACACACACACACACACACACACACACACACACCTCTCCGCCCTCCACCCAGCCACATCACCATCCAACCCTTCTTCCCGCGTCTCGCTCCTCAGATGGATTCTCAGTTTTTTCCCGACTGACCCTGGGGGAGGCAGTGGGGGGGAGCAAGGGGGAGGGAGGCCGGGAGAGGTTGATGATGAATGACAAGGCAAATGATAAGAGCCGAAGCGACAGCAAAAGCAAACAGAAGTGGTCTCTCGCAGGGCCCAGAACCGTCCGCGGCCACGGGAGTTGTGCCTGTGCCATGAAGGCAGGGTTGGCCTCCGCAGGCAGCCCGGCTTCTCCGGGGCGAGATAAACACATTTCGGTCACGTGGCGAGCCTATACGGTGCCATGCTCCTATTTGCCTTCCCCGCTCGCTTTTCGCTTCTCACAATAACATGCCATCCGCCAGCCAGCTCCGAGGCTAACCTCACCTCCCTGGCGCCCGGCCAGCCCGCCCCGGCCCGGCCGTGCAGGGAGAAGCCGCGACTC